AGACTTTCATATTTGATCTGTAGCACTTCCTTGGGTTCTATTGTCCCTGACTCTCTAACAAGTACAAAACCCTTTTGCAAACCCTACTCTTAGTTTCTAGTATCGTTGACCCTGTCATGTATATTGTTACGTACGAAAAATTTACATTTCTTAACCTTCCACATTATTTTCGTACTAGTAGTTTATCATTTGCATATCCTCTCAGAGAATCACGTTACCCCTTACCACTTTTCTATACTACACATGTCTTCAAAAAAATATTCAAACATCATAGCTACACGACCCTACTCTCATTTTATTGAACTTAAGTAGCCTCACCATGGCCAATCCCTCCCCACTTGGGGTGAATGTTTTACATTTCGACACAAGTCTTGAATTTAGCAATTTGAGGGACACATGTTTCACATCTCTAGTCCTCCTGTATATGATTAACTATTACGGAGATTTAAGTCCCCATTGTATTAACCTCATAAGTTCTCTACTCTTATTCAGCCACATAGGCTTAGGATCCAAATCCCTCGTGTTAATATCCTTTTTGGAGTGTAACACCACTTCGCACATTCCTGGGATTTTTATAACATTCATAGTGCTAGGGTCTTCTCATTGTGGGTTCACTTAACTCTCCTTTCATAACTTCTTGTCTCTCGTGAGAGACCTACACATTTATCATTACTCTACAAGCCATGACTTTCATATATCACGTGCCTATGTAACAATTTACATCTTTGAATCATACACATGGTTCCCACACTATCCATATGTATTAGTTAAGCTTAGGTCTCATTTATCACGTCAATGCCTCTTTGGAGATGGGTAATCACTTCTAGCACTCTTCTCATATAAAGTATGCTCATGGTACTATATACTTGTCTCATATGGTCATCCCATTCATTCAACACGATACATGTGTCATCTGTTTAATATTCAGGCCTTTACCCATTTGTCATGTCACATGACAACATTACATGGAATAAACCAAAAGAGCACTTAAACTTACCTTGAACCTCAACGCACGAGTTAGAGGAAGAACGGTTTCACAATTAGTTTCATCGCACGATTCAGAATATCAAAGAAGGGTATTATTCCTAAATGTCCATGTAGCATCCTAATTATAGATGTGGTCGACAACACACCGATAATAAGGACTCTACTAGACACGGCTCTGAGACATCCTATGACACTTTAAAACCTTAGGCTCTGATATCAAGTTTGTCACGCCCCAAATTCGAGGAGCGTGGCCGGCGCTCAACCGAGTGAACCCGACCGAGCAAGCTTATTAGATTTCCTTCTACCCAAACTAATTCATCAATGAAGAGAATATATACGTTTTCATTAATCAAACAATAAAGTGATCATGTCTGCAATACCAATTTTTTTTACCAATAGTTACTTCATTTTTAAATTCTCAATTCCACACAAACTTTTCATAATCTGAAGTGAAAATGGTAATTCAAGCACAACACAACGAGTTTGACTTCCCCATCACCATTATACAACCCACACTATGTCTACGGAGCCTCTATAGATAAAGAAGAGTACAATGATAATGCCGGCAACAAGGCCCTAGCTATACCTCAAACAGAATACACAAAGTACAAAAGATTCATGACCCCGGGATGAAGTGGGGCTCACCTAGTCAACTGGGAAGACGGTACACTGCTATCACCGATCAATATCTCCTGCTGTGGAACCACCTGCATCCATTTAAAGATGCAGCGCCCCCGGCAAAAGGGACGTTAGTACTGTCGAATAGCACTAGTATGTATAACTAAACACCCTCTCAATAGAATGACAAATAATACAAATAAGATTATCATAATATTAATGGAAGCCTTAATCAACATCAAACCTCAATTTAGGATCAAGACAGTGTTTCAATTAATTTCCATATCTCACATTGGGAGATTTTTAGTATCGATATACCATTGTCCACAATACCGTTATTCACAATACCAGTACCACCGTACTCTTAGCACGGAGTCCGATCACGACCCGATCGGCTAGGCTATCTCATTAGAGCCATCAACCACAATTACTCACAATATCAATACCACCGTCTTTAACACGGAGTCCGATCACGACCCGATCGGCTAGGCTATCCATTAGGGACATCGACCACAATCACAATTTCAATTACAATTTTCAGCATAATCACCACCATGTATGCGACATGGTGTCCGATCACGACCCGACCAGCTAGGCTGTATTATTTGAGACATCAACCTTTTTATATCAATCATCGAATTTAATATTACTTTCACATCTTTTCATTTCATTGGCATAAATGGCCATAATTTATAAGATCATTCTTGGCACGTTAGCCATATTTAGTATTTCATGCTCACATTTTCCCTTTCTAACATCAACGTCATCAACAACAACAACAACAATAATTTAAATCAAGGCATTTAGTACACCGGTGAGCAATTAAGAATCTAAGGTACATAGAGATTCTTCACAAAATTTGGCATAATAGCCTTCGTTTGAATTTAGCTTCAAGTCGAACATTTCTGATGCACAGCTCATATTTTTAACACATCCCCAATTGATAACATAACATAAATAAACCATTTGGAATACTCGTTGAGCATATATCTTTCAACCCAATCTTACTCGGAATAGCCAATCTTATAATGAACCACTCGGGACTTACATAATTTACATGAATATCGTGGGATTCAATTCTAAGAGAAGAGTTTAGCCAACATATCTCAAATTCGTCCCTTAATGATACTACAATGCTCCACTACACTAAGCAACTTTAATCTACAATAACAATATCCAATGGAATCGATATTAGTAACAAATTCCATAGTTTATGCCATTTAGGTATTTTATCAAACACCTAGTAGGCATGAATCTCTACATCTCTTACCCATAGAATTAGTTCATCCAACTACTACCATTTACCAACAATTTATACCACCATCATTCTTAAACAATTCATAACTTCCAACATCACATACATGATCATCCATCCACACCCAACCAGCAAAATTTCATCAAATAATCACTTTTCAATCTCTACAATATTTTTGTATTTAGATTGGGAACTTATGGCTTCCAATCACCATACCATAAGTTCCAATACTTAATTCATACCCATATCCTCATAATATATCCATACATGTAAGTCTAAAGGTGTAGGATTACCTTTTGGATGAAATCTTGCAAAACCCTCATTTGAGTTTTTGAAGAAATTTCTTGAAGATCTATGTATTTTATGGAGGATTGAGTTAGTTTTAGGATGGAATTGATGGAATGAATCACAAAATTAGCAGGGATTACTCACCTTGAAGATGGGGGGAGTTGGAGGTCTTGAGAGAATGGAGGAAAACCTCAAAACTCGGCCAAGAAAATGGGGCAAAATGAACCCCGAATGAGTATATAGCGTTTTCGGGCGCCACAGGTGGCGCCGGGGGCTGCCAGTGGCGCCGGTTCTAGTAGTTGAAAGAAATCCCAGCGCCAGGGACAGCGCCCCGCACTACCCTGGGCGCTGGCAACGGGAAATGGTTTTTTTCTGATACGAGAATGTGCATAACACTCTCATACGATGTCCGAATTCGACGATTCTTTTTGTTATGGCTCCGTAATTTCAATACGGATCTAATGCTTCAATCAAAACTGAATTTGGAGCTCGTTTGCTTAATGTGATACCACATATACTCGAAGAAACGACGTCGTTGAAACACTTTTGATGTCAAAATAATGCGGTTCCACCCCATAGGTTTTCTTTGACACTCGAATACGTTATTCCCGAATACCGTTGTCGCACTTCAAAATATTAAATCATTAGAAAATTTTAACGGGGCCTTATATAAACAATTCTATTTTTTCTTCTTTTTTTGTGAATTTTTGTCGTAAAAACTAAATATATTCCAGGCAGATATTGTTCAATAATTATATAGATTATAATGGATAATATTAAAGAAAAACACAAATTTAAATTAACAAGATTATATTTATCGCTTTGGATAATATTGTGCAAAATTAATAATAAGTCATAAAATACCAATTTTATTTTACATCATTTGATATTATGACGTACATCTTTGTTACGTTAAATCTAGTGAAACACCCATAATCTTAAAATCGAAGATTCGCCTTGGATCGCCTGCGCATACAACTTAAACTCTTCCAAATCTTTATGAAGTTATGAGTGTTAAATTTATCATCAAAATAGCTACAATCACCGGTACTAGGAATTACAACAATTGTTAGAGTTGTTACCTCTCGCACTTAACTGGGCATTTTCATAGATACCTACTTTTGGAGCCGCCATTGACGCATTGCTCAAAACTTTGCAAAATTTACCTACCAAGATCTGAAATTTTTCACTCTCTAGAATGCAACTTCAGAATCGATCCGAGGTTCTTCTTTCTTTCCAATACAACTTCAAGAAATCGAATCTTAAGTAGTTCTATCTCTTTAATACAACTTCATAAATCGAATTTTAAGTTCTGAAACATAAACGTGTTCTCCGAATTTCAACAATCCAACACACAATTCAATGCCCAAATTTACTCCAAATGAGCTCAAATTTGAAACATAACTTTCACATATAATAAAGAACAAACTCAATCATCAAATTGTAAAAACAACAAATCTAACAAATTTATTTTGCATCTAAGAAGAAGATGAAGAACCCTAAACACCTACAATGGTGCTTTGCAACTAAGAAGAAGAAGAAGAAACCAAACGGCTCCTAAATACATGGGACAGGTATACAAAGAAGAAAGCAGCAGTGAAGCTCTTAAATACATGGAACACGAATACAGAGAAGAAGAAAGCAGTAGTGAATAAGAGAAGAGCGAAACTGAAGTTACCCAAAAATTGGATATCAATTAAACTTTTTTTTTAAAAAAAATAGGTACAGGTTAAATGGGATGACCAAATAACGCGCCCTCGTAAACTTTTACCATTTAACTTGAAAGTTTCACATCTAAGAAAGCCAAAAATTGGTTCACTTTATAATCCAGAACCCAGGGGACAAAACAAAGGAAGACCAAGTGCTGTAGGAGGACTACAATAGCTCCCGCAAGAAGCTCAAAACAACTGTATAGTATGGGAAATGTAATTAAGAGAATAACATCATTTACATCCGCTGCGACATCGTTTGATTGATGACTCATTTATCCCCATTTATACAAGCAGATTAAGCTCATCGACTGCTGGTTCCAATCATATCATAAATTACAGAGTAAAATTCTCCTTTCCATGACTGCAAAAGTATATAAAGTAAAAATGAAAAAAGGCTATGCTACCTTCCTCAAAAAAGAATATTCATCTCTCATCTCTGCTGAACTTCAAGGTTGTTTTTAGAGTAAAGCTCATTATAAATTTCTCAGTAGTTACTCTGATCTGGCAGCTGTGAAGAAGGAATGAAGGCCTGCAGCTTGAACAGGTAATATGTCACCAAACCTGCCCACTTGTCCATCGGTTAGTATTGATCCCAGTTTCAGCGTGCTCTCTCCAAATTTGCTGCCAACCTGGATATTGTTGGTAGAAAATTCAGCCTTACGTGAGGAAATAGAAACTTATTCAGTCAAATCAATAATTCATCCCATGATTCACAGTTTAAATAGCAGCTCCAGTAACTGGACCATTTCCCTGAAAGGCTGAAACTACACGCTCCAAATGGTAAAGACCTGAACTTTCTTTATGTGATAATGAGCTACAATATCAGATTCACTTCATATAAAGTAGCACTTTACATTCTAAATAAAAAAAGTATCACTTTACATTATCATCATTAACTGGAAGATGTTATGGTAGCACCAGTTTTGAAAATGAGGAAAAGAAAACATGACATGTCCAGTCTTGAGAATCATGGAGAAAATGTTTCAGAAAGAACCAAAAAAGGAAAAGCAACTCTCAGATCTGTTTCTCCCTATCGTCATGCATTCACTTGGTACGAAAGTGGGCAGCTTAAAGTAAGCAGGCCAGTTGATCATTCTAATGTGGCTTTTTGTAAAGCTATATCCGGTATTCCACATGTCCATGCTCCGGAGGTACCATGCCGACAGGTCCCATGTGTTAGATTACATCACAGTTCAGCTAGATGAGAGCTTGGGTTATGAGGAGGAGTCAGTTGCTATAGTTGACAGGCAGGTCCGCAAGTTGAGGTCTAAGAAGATTTCAGCGGTGAAGGTCCAGTGGAGGGGTCAACCAATCGAGGAGGCGACTTAGGGAGACTGATGCGGAGCAGATATCCACACTTATTCGGCGCTCCAGCTATGATTCTAAACCCGTTCGAGTACGAACGTTTGTTTAAGAGGAAGGAAATGTAACGACCCGACCGATTGTTTTGCTTTCTAGATCCCCGTTCCCCTAATTAAGACTTCTCGTATGTGCTTTTACTGTTTTATAACTTGCGGGGACGGTTGATTTGGTTTTGGAAGGGTTCAGGTTGAATTCGTAACACTTAGTTCCATAATAGTGGCCCTAAGGTGGCAAAGTTTGACTTGAGTCAACACTTTGGGTAAACAACCTCGGAATCGGGATTTGAAGGTTCTAATAGGTTCGTATGATGATTTTGGAATTGGGCGTGTGTTCGGATCGAGTTTCGGGTAGACCGGGAGCGTTTCAACGCTTATTGTTGAAAGTTGGCATCTTGAAGGTTTTAGAGTTTACTAAGTTTGATTTGAAGTAGACATTGGTGTTATCGATGTCCGTTTGGGACACCGAGCCTTAGAATAGGGCTTGTATTGTGATTTGTGACTTGTGCGTAAGATTTGGCGTCATTCCGAATTGTCTAAGTATGGTTCGTTGCGTTCAGAGTTAGTTGGAAGAAGTTTAAAGTTCAAAGGTTGATTAATTTGGTTTTGAGGTGGGATTCTTGGTTTCGATATTATTTTACGAGTTCCGAGACTTCGAGTAGGTCCGGATTATGTTTATGGACTTGTTGGTACATTTGAATGGGGTTCCGGGTGGCACGGGTGCGTCTCCGACCACCCGGAGCAAAAAGTTTAAGTTGGAAGATTTTCTGGTTCTGGTTTTGTTCTTCGCGAACATGGAGGGAGTCTCGCGTTCGCAATGAAGGATCTGGGCTGGAGGCAATTTTGTGCTTCACATTCGCGTGGGTGGATTCGCGAAGACTTAGGGCAGTGAAGCTACGCGTTCGCGAGAGGGAAGACGCGATCGCGAAGGAGCTGGGGTTGGGGGATGGCAGGCCATTGGCCTTCGCGTTCGCGAAGGGCCATCCGTGTTCGCGAAGGGTAGGCCGGGTTAGCCATGGCGATCGCGGAGCCCCAGTCGCATTCGCGATGAGTATTTTTGGGGCGATAGCAGCTTTTCCTTCGTGATCGCGAAGAGGCTTCCGCGATTGCGAATAAGGAATGCCCGGGCAGAACATCATTTGAATAATGGGACTTAGGCTCATTTTTCCAATTTCTCACTTAGCTTGGCCGGTGGTGGAGCTTCTTGGAGGGGATTTTCATCATGGTGAGTGATTTTTACCTAATGTGAGTTAAATACATGGGTTATGGGTAGATTTTAACCTGGAAATTAGTAGAATTATGGAATTTTGTTGAAAAACCTAGGGTCTAGTAAAAATAGGATTTAACCACGAAATTGATAATGAAATAGGGTATAATTTATATATTTGAATTCGTAAGGTCATGGGTAACATTTATCTACAAAATTTCCGGAATCCGGGCATGTGGGCCCTGGGGCGACTTTTATGGACTTTCCTAGCGGGGTTGAAAAATTACTCTAATAGTTAATGTGAGAATGCACGGGAGAAAAATCTATTATTGATATTCTGTTTAATTGTAATACAATGAGCTTTGTTTATACAATACATATCATACTCCTATTCTATGTGGGACTAGGACTAATTCATATTATGTACATAACTATATAACACTTTCCCTCAAGCTGGTGCATACAAATCATATGTACCGAGCTTGTTACATATGTAACTAATACGAGGACTAGTAAAGGACTTGGTAAAAATATCTGCAAGCTGATCATTCGACTTCATAAACTTTATAGCAATATCTCCTGAGTACGAAGTGACAGTCAATCTCAACGTATTTAGTTCTCTCATGAAACGCCGGATTTGATGCAATATTAAGGGCAACTTGGTTATCACACACAAGTTTCATCTTGCTGAACTCACCAAATTTCAACTCATTAAGCAAATGTTTGATCCAAACTAGCTCACATGTTGCCACAGTCATAGCTCGATATTCTGCTTCTGCACTAGACCGAGTAACCACATTCTGTTTCTTGCTCTTCCAAGACACCAAATTACCTCCTACTAAAACACAATATTCAGACGTAGAACGTCTGTCAGAAGGTGATCCTGCTCAGTCAGCATCTGAGTATCCAACAATTTGCTCATGGCCTCGATATTCAAACAATAATCCTTTGCCTGGAGATGATTTTATATATCGAAGAATGAGGACAACTGCATCCCAATGACTATCACAGGGAGAATCCAGGAACTGACTTACCACACTCACTGGAAAGGAAATGTCAGGTCTAGTCACTGTGAGGTAATTTAATTTACCAACCAGCCGCCTATATCTTGCAGGATCACTAAGCGGCTCCCCCTGTCCTGGTAGAAGTTTAGAATTCGGATCCATAGGAGTGTCAACTGGTCTACAGCCTGTCATTCATGTTTGCTCAAGAATGTCTAAGGCATACTTCCTTTGTGAGATAACAATACTTGAGCTAGACTAAGCGACCTCAATACCTAGAAAATACTTTAATCTGCCCAAATCCTTAGTCTGAAAGTACTAAAAGAGATGTTGCTTCAACTTAGTAATACCATCCTGATCATTGCCGGTAATAACAATATCATCAACATAAACCACCAGATAAATACTGAGATTTGAAGCATAATACCGATAAAACACGGAGTGATCAACTTCACTACGAGTCATGCCAAACTCCTGAATAATTGTGCTGAACTTACCAAACCAGGCTCGAGGAGACTGCTTTAGACCATAGAGGGACCGATGCAACCGACATACAAAGCCACTAGACTCCCCTGAGCAACAAAACCAGGTGGTTGCTCCATATAAACCTCATCCTCAAGGTCACCGTGAAGAAAAACATTCTTAATGTCCAACTGATAGAGAGGCCAATGGCGAACAACAACCATGGATAGAAAAAGGTGGACTGATGCTACTTTAGCCACGGGAGAGAAAGTATCACTGTAATCGAGCCCAAATATTTGAGTATACCCTTTGGCAACAAGACAAGCCTTAAGTCGATCAACCTGGCCATCTGGACCAACTTTGATTGCATACACCCAACGACAACCAACAATCGATTTACCCGAAGGAAGAGGAACAAGCTCCAAAGTACCACTCGTATGTAGAGCAGACATCTCGTCAATCATAGCCTGTCGCCACCCTGGATGAGACAGTGCTTCACCTGTAGACTTAGGGATAGAAACAATACAAATGCACAATGGGGTGATGACAGACGATGGTAACTTAAACCGACATAATGGGGATTAGGATTAAGTGTGGACTGTATACCTTTACAGAGTGCAATCGGTTGACTAAGAGGAGACAAGTCCGCAGTATTAGCAGGGTCAGGTGTAGGATGTGAATCAGCTGGGACTGATGCTGGGTGCGGACGACGATGATAAGTCAGAAATGGTAGAGTTATAGAAGGTTGACTTGGGCTAGGCGGTGGAACTGGAGCTATAGGTGGTGAAGCTGGAGCTGGAGCTGTAAGTGGTGAAACTGGAGCTATAGGTGGTGAAGCTGTAGGTGAAGATGAATGGGAGATAGTGACTGAATCTCCAAAAGATGGAACTGGTAGCACCTCAGAAATATTTAAGTGATTACCTGTACCTGTGAAGTATGATTGGGTTTAAGGTACCGCCTGAGGTCAGGAGAATAGCATCGTTATCCCTTTTGCATTCTTGAGTAACCCAAAAATACGCACTTAAGAGCACGAGGAGCTAACTTATCTTTTCCTAGAGTAAAGTTATGAATAAAGCACGTGCTCCCAAAGACACGGGGTGGAAGAGAGAACAAAGGGAAGTGGGGAAACAAGACAGAGAATGGAACTTGATTCTGGATAGCTGAAGATGGCATACGATTAATAAGATAGCAAGATGTAAGAACTGCATCCTCCCAAAAACGCAACGGAACATGAGATTGTATGAGTAGGGTACGAGCAGTTTCAATAAGATGTCTATTCTTTCTTTCAGCTACCCCATTTTGTTGGGATGTGTACGGACAAGATGTTTGATGAATAATCCCATGAGAGTTCATAAATTGCTAAAATGGGGAAGACAAATACTCTAGGGCATTATCACTACGAATTGTGCGGATAGAAACCCCAAATTGATTTTGAATTTCAGCGTGGAAGGTCTGAAAAATAGAAAACAACTCAGATCGATTTTTCATCAAAAATATCCAAGTGCACCTAGAATAATCATCAATGAAACTGACAAAGTAGCGGAATCTCAAGGTAGAACTGACCCGACTAGGACCCCAAACATCTGAATGGACTAAAGTAAAAGGTGACTCTGCTCGATTATCAAAACGCCGAGGGAAATGGGAGCGGGTATGCTTACCGATCTGACATGACTCACACTCTAGAATGGACAAGTGAGATAAATCAGGTACCATTTTCTGAAGTTTTGACAAACTGGGATGTCCCAACTGTTTATGTAATAAATCTGGTGAATCAGTGACAGGACAAGTTGCTGAAGGAAGACAAGATGTGAGTCCATGTGATTTTGGAAGGATAAGGTAATAAAGTCCATTTGATTAACGCTCGGTGCCAATGATCCGCTTTGTACTGCGTTCCTGTATAAAAACAAGGTCATCAAGAAATAAAACAGAGCATTTAAGTGATTTGGCTAAGCGACTAACGGCTATGAGATTAAAAGGACTACCGGGAACATAAAGAACTGAATCTAAAGGTAATGAAGGAAGTAGACTTGCTTGACCTATTCCAGTTGCCATGGTTTGAGACCCGTTGGCCTTGGGAGATATTGAGAACATGAAATAGTAGTGAAAAGAGATTTGTTACCAGAAATATGATCAGATGCAGCTGAATCAATGACCCAAGACTCGGAGGTTGAAGATTGAGAGACACAAGTCACGCTACTATGTATTTGAACAACGGAAGCTATCCCTGAAGATGTTTGTTTACATGCTTTGTACTGAAAGAGCTCAATATAATCCGGTAAAGAAACCATCTGGATTGGATTCAATGCATTGGATCTAACGGATTGTGAGTCAAAGGCTTCTAATACGAATGCCATTATAATGTTGAAGCCGAAAAAAAACAGAATTTTTTCTGGAAATTACTGTTCACGACGGAAAAAATCAATGTTTACGCCGGAAAAATATGAAAGTGGTCGGAATTTGATTTAAATTCGATGGGTAGGCTCGGAATTGCAAGGGGAACAATCTGTCCTGAAGAGTCGCCGCCAAACAATGGCCGGAAGGTGGCCCACGCGCCGACGCGTGACGTTGGAACTTTGCCGGAAAATTTTCTCAGCGCTTGGATGGTCTTCTGACGGAGATATTTTTTATGGGTTGGTCGCCCGAGGCCGATCTACTTCGTGGTGGTGTTGGTTTTTGCACAACACTGATGAAAAGTGGCTTTTTACTTGCGGCAGACCTGTGTTTGCCGGAAAAAGACTTCCGATTGACTCATTTTTCTTCCCGGAGTCACTGGAATTTATGCACAGCGATAAATCTCTCACGATTGCTCTGATACCATGTGAGAATGCACGGAAGAAAAATCTATTATTGATATTCTATTTAATTATAATACAATGAGCCCTATTTATACAATACATATCATACTCCTATTCTATGTGGGACTAGGACTAATTCATATTATGTACATAACTATCTAACAGAGTCAACAAGGATCGAATATAAACTTCAGAAGATCTTTGAATGATTAAGAGATTGGTAGAGTTGCTGAATATTTGAAGGCCCTAGAACCCTTCAAAGGCACAACTGAAATAGCAGATTCTCTCACCTGGAAAGAGGAAGTAGAAAGGGTTTCACGGTCAAAGGAGCATACAATTTGCTAAATAACGCTGGACAGCAACATGCGTATTGGCCTTGGAAATATATTTGGAAAGTTACAGTTCCTTTCAGAGTATCCTGTTTTGTTGGGTTTAGTAGCTAAAAAGGCTTGTCTAACCCATGAGAAGCTACAGAGAAGAGGAGTACAGCTGACCTCTAGTTGTTTCCTGTGCAAGCAGATCAAGAAGAGAACAGCCATCTTTTTTGGCACTGTGGTGTCACTACACAGTTGTGGCAGCTGTTCTTTGCTTTAGCAAACATTAAATGGATTAAGCCCAGGACTACTTGTGATCTGCTGAAGTGCTAGAACAGTGTAGGTGGCAATTTAAGGAACAAGAGATGGTGGAGAGCTATAGAAGCATGCATATGGTGGTTGTATGGAAAGAAAGGAATGCTAGACGTTTTGAAGATAAGCACAACTCTTTACAGAAAGTTAAACTGAACTGTATTTTGTCTTTTCATTTTTGGCTTAAAGAATCTTCTGTAGAGGATACAGAAACATTATTTACAGTTTTCAGAATCCTTGTAAGAAGAACAAGGACTGATTGTAACTTTTGGAATTGTAAATTTGGCTGCCAGCAGAGTCTTTGCGTTGATGAATACAATGTTACCTTTATTAAAAAAACGATTGTTTTGCTATTCACCTAAAATTCCGAGGTTACAAAGTAAAATCTTAAGAAAACATAAAATGCATCTTATGAAATTCAAAAACTGAAGTATGAGACAAGCTACAGTTTATACATAAGTTTATAGCAAGGAACAGCTCAATCTGCAATTTTTGAGATTTAATTTTCTATTTTTTTGAAATTGTTTTTTGAGATTGAGCTCAATCTGCAATTCTGAGAAGATACATATAATATCAATTTTTCTTAATACGTAGATTAAGATAACTTATGAGTATTTATACTTTGAAATAAGTTAAAATATAAAATAAAGTAAATAAATTTACTTAAGATATTAAAATTTGATGATTTAAAAATTAAAATAATTTCAAGCAGCAAAATAAGATCTTAAATAAAATATCTATGTTATAGAGGTAATATGAGAACATTTTAATATTACTAAAAAATATATTACCTGAATATTTTGGCAAAACAATCAAAGTGAATAAATTAGATTTTCAAGAGTGAAAAATCTATATTATACTTTTTATGTTAAGAAAGGATATTTCATCAAATAGTGAACTAATAAAAAGTCATATGAAAATGTAAAAATACTAAATAATGAATAATGCAATAATGACAAGTAATAATGAACAAAAAAGAGAAAAAGATATTTACATTTTATCAAGAAAATAATAATTTCTATATATTAGAAATTACTTATTCTGAGACCTATTATATTCTAAATTGGGAAGTTATCAACACGTAATATAACTGAACGTGCGTGTTTGCTGTAAAAAATATCAAACCTAATATTGTATATAGTTATTTGCTCATTGATATTTGGCCATAGGTCATTAATTACAAAGTTGTAATCCATATCTATATTATATTAAAAGAAGAGTATTTAAACATTATTAAAAGAAGAATCTATTTGTTGGATTCTATTTGCTTAAATTTTAATATATATTATTAATTGATATTTTTGGTCAAGAATATGGTCAAGAATACTATTTTAAATGGTAAGATATAATATTATATGATAAGAATTCTCCAGAAAAACTTTAAAAGAGTATTGAGAAAAGTCACTTGGCACTTTTAGGATAAAATTTAATTTTTTTTAATATATTCAATTTTTATATCTATATATCTATATCTCTAGATAGATCCACTCATCAATATTTCTTCTATATTCACTAGAAATATGGATGTGACATATTAAATAAAAAATTATAATATGAAGAAAAATAAAAATTGAAAAAAGGCATAGATTGAGANATATATATATATATATTATTTTTCTCCGCTCTTTTTTACACTGAAACGATCCGCGCATCGCGCGGGTATGTATACTAGTAGTTGCAAATAAAAACAAAACGGCAGCTATCAAATCAAGATCCACAAAGTAACACGTAAAATTTATTAGATTTCTCATTTCTTTCTGCACGAGTCTGATTACTCCTGCATATTTTCAGATCTAAGAAATTAAGGAAAATTCACCTCCTTTGGTTTAAAACGGAAAGAGTATGCGAGGAACTATTTTTAAAAAATATTACAAAGGAGATTCTACAGAGACTAGGCAAAGAGGAAATGGTTTACCTGCATAAATGATTTCAAAAATGGCGCTGTTATCCCAGAAGTTGAATTTTCATCGATGTCAACCTTTCGAGACAGCTCGTCATTCGTGTAACCTTTCCAGGGACTTCTCGATGAAACATCATCAATAGATGCTGAGATTGATGCCTTGGTTGTCCCCCTCGAAGACAGTGCTGGGGCACTGGATTACAAGCATAAATTTACGCATTCATGGAAGGATACATGACAAATTGTAATAAACCCATTCCACATGAGAAACATTAAAGGATGATTACTTTCAGAGAACAAAATCATAGATCCAACAGAAAGAATGCAGTGCGATTTATACAAATGTGTGAAATGTAATCCCTCCGTCGAGTCAATCAAGGAGGAGGGAAAATCCAGGTAGAAGTTAAAGAGTACCACTAACAGAGCAGAAAATGAACTGAACGGAGAACTGAAATTTATAAAATTCACAACAATATCAACCTGATGGGGAGATATTTGAAGCGAGGTACTGTGGAGCAGCGCAGGATGTTTGATTCTGAATTGGTTGGCAGTTTCTGGGCAGTGTCTGTGTACATCCGGTTAAGCTGTACAAAAAACCCAAGGAGCACAGCATGCCTCAGGTATGACTGCCTCTCATTCTCCCAAAGATATGGCTCATAGCTGGAAATGAATCAGATAAAGTGTCAACTAACAAGATCAAGAAGGCACAATATATCAATCTACTATTGACCCCATGGCACTACACCTCCCCAAAAAAGGCAATGGAACCCAAGTAAAACCAACACTATGTTATTTCATGCATTCTTTAGCAATAAGAGTGCACTTAAAGATGCAAAAGCAGATGAAGTAGTAGATACAAGAATCAACAACAACAACAACAAACCCAGTATATTCCCACAGGTGAGGTCCGGGGAGGGTAGTGTTGCGCAACTATTCCTTCTCAAGGGTGTGAACCTATAGTATGCAGTAGATAGTTCACAGGCCACGAACCATCTTTACATGGAATTCCCCAAAGAATTCCATTATAGCAGCACAAGCATTTTAAAAATCCTTCAGAATACACTGGACAGTTGAATCAGAAATGTACCAGCTGGAATCGAATGCAAGCAATGGATGTGAAACTTTTGTACAGGATGAATATTTGTCGTATCTTGTTTATTTCACATGGAAAGGACTCCCCTTTAGTTTTGAAAGCACACTGAACTCCTAATGTAATGTGCCTTGCATAAACTTCTCTTACAAGTATAGTTACTAGTTGTTAGCCTAATATTAATTTTCTAAGACATTCCCCTGTACGAATTATTTATTATTTTAGATAAGATCAAAGTTTAAGATAATCAATTTTAAAAAAAAAATAAACATCATGTATTTTATCTCAATTCTTTTTATCAGATGCAACAACAACAAAAAAACCAGTGTAATCCCACAAGTGGAGGCTGGGGAGAGTAGTGTGTATGCAGGCCTTACCCCTACCTTGTGAAGGTAGGGAGGTTGTTTCTGATAGACCATCGGCTCAGGAATGCCGTTCAATTATTAGTATGTCACTATCCACCTTGCTATTTTACCAAACTTAATTAGCATAGGATAGTAACCATTTTTAAAAAATTATCACCTTTATCAGCTTGTATTACTGATAAAACTAAAAAAAACTACCTCTACTAAGTTTAATCAAGTTTGTTAGGTGTTAAATTACGTTGACTAAGGGGCTATAAAAGTAAGAACATTACTCCCTCTATCAATTTAGGTGACCTTTGATGGGATTTAATCCTTGTTTCTAAGTGGTGCTGGAGCTTCAACCATTGAACTATAACTCCAACCAATTTACTCCTTTCGTGCTCAAAGAGTAAGAAAAAACGGTAAGAATGCACGGTTAACTGAGCTAGATGAGGTACTCAAAATAGGTTAAACAATTGAAAGTGGATGTTTGAGTTTCTATTTAAGGAACCAAAAAAACTGAAGCAGATGGAAAGACATGTCTGGTAATCTGTTATTAGATAAGAAAAAATTGCAACAACAACAGACCTAGTATAGTCCCATAAGTGGGGTCTGGGGAGGGTAGTGTGTACGCAGACCTTACCCCCACCTTGAAGGTAGAGAGACTATTTCCGAAAGACCCTCGACTCAAGAAAAATAAAAGGAAAGCAGTAGTAACAAGCATTAACAACAACAAGATAATAAGAAAACGAGGCGAAAGAAACAACTAGTAATAGAAATCTAACAATATAGAATACAAGCAAATACTAATATTACTGGCAAGGGAAAGAAACATTCTTGATTACTTACTAGTTTTCTACCTTAATTTTCGACCCGCACACCTTCCTATCAAGGGTCATGTACTATGTGAGCTGAAGCAACGCCATATCCTACCTAATCACCTCTCCCAATACTTTTTAGGCCTACCTCTACCTCTTCTCAGTCCCACCAAGGCCAGCCTCTCACACCTCCTTGCTGGGGCACTTGTGCTTCTCCTCGTCGCATGCCCAAACCATCTGAGCCTCACTTCCCGTATCTTATCCTCCACCGGAGACTCTCACTCTGGCCCGAATATCTTCATTCCTAATCTTATCAATCCTGGTATGCCCGCACATCCATCTCAACATCCTCATATCTGCTACTTTCAGCTTCTGGACATGAGAGTTCTTGACTGGCCAACACTCAGCCCCGTACAACATAGTCGGTCTAACCACTGCTCTATAGAACTTACCTTTAAGTTTAGGTAGCACATTCTTATCACATAAAATACCAGATGTGAGCCTCCATTTCACCCACCCCGCTCCAATACGGTGTGTAACATCCTCGTCAATTTCCTTATTTTCTTGGATAATAGACCCAATGTACTTGAAACTCTCTCTTAGGGATGAAATTATGTTCTTTGAATCTATAACGACTCTTTGAATCCAAAGAGTGGAATAATTAGGGATAAGAGAAGGATAATCTAATGCTTTTTGGTCTAATGGGAGGGGTAGATTTGGTAGGACAATGATCAGAACCAACGAGCCACACAATAGGTGAACGGTCTACTTTGCACGTTTCAACCATCAGCCCTTCACCTTTCAGTTTTGCAAGCAAGCTAATTTTATCTCCTTTAACTTTGATTCATTATGAAAGTCCCAACAACAGGTCTATTGCAATGTGGCAATTTGCGAGGAAATGGTTGCTCTATGTTTGATGCCAAGAGAGTATTGCTTCATATTTTATCCTATATTCCTACCCATAGAATGCAACATATTCTCCATTTTCAGATCTCGCAAAGAAAGAACATGTTTTCCCCTCTCACTCACTCTTATTTGCAGAGCTAAGGAAGTGGACTGTCACGACTGCAATATTTTCTGGAAACCAAGAGAGTTAAAAAAGAAAAGGGGTGTAGTCCCTTTGGCCTTTGGAAGGGAAAGACAGAAGAAACACTTATCTGAACAAAGTTTGTTTGCTTCCCACATCCTTATTTGTCATAAAGGGGTTTAGCTAATCTACCAGGGTAGATAAAGGGGAATGATATCCCTTGTGCACCTTCCCAACCCCTTCTGGATAATCCATAGCACAAGAGTGCCGTTACACAAACCTTTTATTTCATTTGTTCTCTCCTCCTTCCTGACCCCTTAATTTCCTCTCGAAAAGCATTTTTCATATTTATTTGTTCACAATAATTAGTTGTTATTTTAAAATCCTTGTTACCTAGATTTTATGCATCATTTACATATAAGATAACCGCAACAACTATATTTGATTATAAGGCTTCAATACAAATCTTTTTTGGAATAAAAGATATTTTTTAATACGCTGGATTAAAAGATATTTTTTAATAACTGAAACAAGCAAGCCAGAAACATTGTTGTGAAACCAATTTATCTCCAATACAACCACATCCTTATTCTCATCATCCAAACACAAGAAATAAAAATTTAATGACGTAGTACAATCAGGTTATACTGTCACGATCGTAACAACATTTTTTTGCAGGCAAGTTTTCAAAATAAAATTAAGCCATTATAGGATTTCATGGATGAAAAACTATCATGCTTCATATCTGTATATAGAATCTGAAAGTATATCAATTAGTTTCAAGTATTATAAGTTCTGTCAGCCACTAAACTTGCGATTAACTTTTCTTGAATCTGTAATTGTAAGCTATTCAAGCTGGCCAAGGTGAGAGAAAGGAAGGCCTGGGCCAAGTGAGGTGCATCAAAGACGAGGAGGGCAGAGTCTTGTTGGAAGAGGCACAGATTAAACGAAGATGGCAGACATACTTCCATAACTTGAATGAAGATGGGGATAGCAACATTGTGATGGGTGATTTGGAGTACTCATATAGTCGTCGAGATTTTGGGTATTGTAGGCGTACAAAAATCAAGGAGGTTGAGGGGGAACAGGGGCAGAGCGACCGGACCAGATGAAATTTCTGTGGAATTTTGGAAGAACGTGGGCAGAGCAGGCTTGGAATGGCTCACTAGGTTGTTTAACTTCATTTTTAGGACGAAGAAGATGCCCGAAGGGTGGAGGTGGAGTACGATGATTCCGTTGTACAAGAACAAAGGTGATATTCAAAATTGCAACAACTATAAGGGTATCAAGTTGCTTAGCCACACTATGAAAGTTTGAAAGAGGGTGGTGGAAGTTGAGGGTAAGGAGGACTGTGTTTATTTCTGAAAACCAATTTGGATTCATGCTCGGGCGTTCGACTACGAAAGCTATTTACCTTGTTAGGAGGTTGGTGAAATAGTACAGGGGAGGAAGAAGGGTTTACATATGGTGTTTATCGACCTAGAGAAAGCGTATGACAAAGTCCTAAGAGAGGTTTATGGAAATGTTTGGAGGCTAAAGGTGTTACTGTGGCGTACATTAAGGTGATTAAGGACATGTATGATAAAGCTAAGATGCGGATGAGAACAATGGGAGGAAACTCGGAACATTTTCCGATTATGATGGGGTTACACCAGGGAAATGCGCTTAGCCCGTTTTTATTTTCCTTAGCGATGGAGCACTGATGCGCTACATTCAAGGGGTGGTGTCATGGTGTATGTTATTCGCAGATAACATAGTATTGATTAACGAGACGCGAAGCGATGTTAACAAGAAGTTGAAGGTTTGGAGACAGGACCTAGAATCTAAAGATTTCAAGTTGAGCTGGACTAAGAAAGAATACTAGGAGTGCAAGTTCGGCAACATGACGGGAGGGAGCGGACATGGACGTGAGGCTCAATTCACAAGTCATCCTCAAGAGAGGAAGTTACAAGTATCTTGGGTCAGTTATATAAGGGAATGGGGAGATTGACGAGAATGTCACACATTGTATAGAAGCGGGGTGGATGAAATGGAGGCTAGCATCCGGTGTCTTATGTGATAAGAAAGTGCCACCAAAACTTAAAGGTAAGTTCTACAAAGTGGTGGTGTTGTATGGGCAGAGTGCTGGCCAGTCAAGAATTCCTATATCTAGAAGATGAAAGTTGCGAAAATGAGGATGTTGAGATGGATGTGCGGGCATACCAGGTTGGATAAGATTAGGAATAAAGATATTCGGCTTAAGGTGGGTGTGGCCCACGTGGAGGACAAGATAAGCGAGGATTAGATGTTTCAGGCATATGAAGAGGAGAAGCTCAGATGCCCCAGTAAGGAGGTGTGAGCGGTTGACTTTGGTGGGTATGAGAAGAGGTAGAGGGAGGCCAAGGAAGTATTGGAGAGAGAAGATCAGGCAGCACATGACGCGGCTTCAGCTGATGACCCGACTTCAACTTATCGAGGACATAGCCCTTGATAGGGGGGTGTGGAGGTCGAGAATTAGGGTAGAAGGTTAGTAGGTAGCCGAGCGTATTTTTGATCCGTACCAGTGGCATTAAGGCTAGTAGGGTAGTTTTTCTTGTTCTTGATTGCTAATTTACATGTTTTCCTATTACCTTCCGTGTCGGTTTCTTAGTATCTTGTTGTGGTCAATGCTTGTTGCTACTCTTTCCTTCCGTTTATTTTCTGGTTCTTAGTTTGATATTACTATCTTTCTGGCCCTTGTTGTTGATATTACTTTTTCTACTGTCTCTTTCCATCTTTCTTGAGTCGAAGGTCTATCAGAAACTCCCTACCCTCCTAGGAAGGGTTGTAAATAACGCTCGCCTCAGCGCTAATAGCGTGAGGCGATGCCATGCGAGGCAGCAGCACCATTTTCCTCTGTTGTGTGGCGAATTTAAAAAGGCGAGCGCCTCTACCTGTGTAGCGAGAGGTGTTGTGCAGTGAGAGGCTCAGAGTAGCGATGCCTTTTTGAAAAAATGAAAAGAAAAAGGCATCAGACTTCAGCGATTAAAAGAAAAATTAGGGCTTGAGTTTGTTTTCTTCTTTCTCCTTCATACTCATCGACCTAGCCCTATTGCAAAGAAGCAAACCAAATTTCTTCTTTCTTCTTCAAGTTACTTCGATCAGGTATGCTTCTCTTCATCTCTTTTCTTCTTTCTTCTTCTCGAGCAATGTCCATTTTTTCCATCTTCTTTCTCTTTCTTTCTTTCTTTCTTTCTTTCTTCCTTTTTCTTCTTCTCTTCTTCTTTTTCTTTTTTTGCTATGTTGTTTTCGAGCACCGTCCAGCAGCTGTTTCTTTTTGGCAGAGAAATTTCTTTCTTTCTTCCTTAATCTTCTTCTCTTCTTTTTTTTTGCTCTGTTTTTTGAATTGATATATTTATCAATATATTATTGCTATTGAGTTTTTAGTTTTTTTTTTACATATATATATATATATGTGTGTGTGTGTGTGTGTGTGAATTTAATATTTTATTTTTTTGTATTAATTGTCGCTTCACATTAAAAAGGCGAGCGTTTCGCTACTCGCCTCAGTGAAGCGGTCCCTCATCGCTATTTGACGCCTAGAGTAGGGGTAAGGACTGCGTACACACTACCCTCCTCATACCCCACTTGTCGGACTTCACTGGGTCTATTATTGTTGTTGTTGTTGCCATTGTTCCGTTATTTTTGTTTCTCCATGTACAAGGTAGGCACCCATTGCTACGAACATTAATATACTTCTTTACTACTCACAGAGAGAAAAAGAGCATAGAAAAGACAAAACATTTCTTAATAAATGAAACTTCTAATAATAAAAATTTTGAACAATAATGCATTAAACTAGCACATTAGCTGCAAAGATAAGGACAAAAATAAAAAAGGTAGAGAGAAAAAGAGGTGATTGGAATCTTTTTGTCCATTTAGAGAGATGCTAAACACTTTAACATGACATTCATAAGTTTCAAGAATCCAAATATGGTTCGACCTTGATGTTTTCAAAAGTACTTCATCATTTCATTTTGTGCAGGTTAAATTAACCTACTACTATTCATGCCTAGTCAGAAAATCCCCATAAAATGGAAAAGAGGGGGTAGTAGTTTTAAGTTAAGATACGAAAGCAAATTTACATAGCAGCATGAATATTTTCATCGAGTTTATCGGATTTGGAAAAGCTTACGTGAGCCAATCAATAGGATCCAGTCTCTGTGCAAAGCTACTTATCAACCCATTGACACGCTCTTCAGTTACTGACTTACTTAGTTGTACATCGTGCTTTCTTCTAAAAGGATGCTTCATTTTAAGCATTTTCAATGACTCCTCATTTGCATTAGAATCACCACCAGAGAGAATATCTGAAGCAAATCTTAGATCCAATAAAACTTGCAACACTCCTTTCTCTGAAATCAGAGATCCCTGAGTTTCTTGACTGGAAAGGAAGTCTCCATAAATATGAATCACCTATCAATATGCGACAGTCATCAGTATACAGAAGCATTAATTGCCAGAAAGCTTTTCTAGGGTGAAATTGCTAGAAAGCTTAAGACACAAAAGTAGCTCACTCAAAGCAAATCAAATTCAAATCCTTTTCAAAAGGAAAAAACAAGCCAAATAGAAATCAGTGTTATCAAAGGTAAAAAGTGCAAAAAAGCTCTAAGGTCCATTGGGGCTTTAATCACAAATAAAGCGTGGGCTTTAATGAAAAAAGGCGTGAAGGGAGAAAAATTACAAATATGTATGTATAGTACAAGACTAATAATTATAAGCATAAATAACATATGGACCAGTGTTGTCAAAGGGGCGCTTAAGCCCGGGAGCGAAGCGCAAAACATGTTGAGCGCTTCGCGTCGCTTAACGGGCGCTTTAGTGTCGTCATTAAGGTTAAAGCATACTCTTCCTTGCCAATAAGCATAACCCTGAAGAGGTGACACAAACAATTGATATTTCACTTTATCGTAATTGTTTTTCAATTTCTTTGTCCATATATTTGTTAATCATGCTTATACTTATAGTCTTGGACTACACATATATATTTGTAGTTTTTCTCCTTTTGTGTCTTTCATCATTAAAGCTCACACTTTATTTGCACTTAAATATCTTTTTTGCGCTTTTCGCCTTTGATAACACTGAGATGGACAAAGAAACTGGAAAAAAAACATTACGATAAATTGAAATATCAATTGTTTAGCGTCGCCTCTTCAGGATTACTCTCATTGGCAAGGAAAAGTATGTCTTAAGGCCTTGGTGACGACACTAAAGCGCCTACTAAGCAAGGTGAAGCGCTCAACATGTTTTGCGTCTCGCCTCAGAGCTTAAGCGTACCTTTGACAACACTGATAGAAACGGTAGCAGAGAACGAGAATATTAAAAACTCTGAATTGTTAAAAGTACTTTACAGACTTGTCTAGCAGACGGTAGGCAAACCCAGTTATCAGCTAACCTATTCATGTCTTTTGAATGGTTTAGACAAGTGAAAACTTAGTGGTAAGGGCCCTCCACCTCTTAATAAATATTTATTTATCTGCAGACGTCATGCTCCTGAAAACTAGTGAAAACCTTGATTTCTAACTACAGAATTGCGTAACTGATCTACAAAAAGTCTCACAGACTTTGTTACTATTCTCACAAAAAAAAATCTCAGTCTTTATAACTGTTCAACCAATGAATTCTGAGACACAAAATCAAAAGACTAGGTTGTCAGATGCGCCCAACTTTAAATGATGTATTCAGCTACAGCATACTACTATCAATAAAAAAACCCTGTTTCCTTACAGCTTGATAGAGGTTAATGTGACTAGAACAATCCAACCTTATAACTAGTTCAAGCTTTGAGGAGCAGATATTCAGTAAATTCATCAGGATAAGAAAATCAGATATGCAAGAGAAACTCGACTGAATATAGCGGCTTCTTCCTTTTTTCAGTAAAGGCTCTAGAGAGCAATGTCAAAACAGGCAACACTATGAGATCAGCTGCTAAACTAATTTAGTAGATATTCGAAACAGCTGACTATTTAAATAAAATAGAACATAAGTTTCCAACTATAGAGACATAAACAAAATCCTTATGAAGTGAATAAGATCACCAATGCTGATGAGTCATATTTCCAGGTTTTTATCAACAAGAGATGAATGTATCATGAACCAAATTCAAATATTCAACAATAGCAATCTCTAAGAGGATGAGATCAGCAACAGGACATGAAAGGATGATTAATAAGAGGTTGATGTTAGCAATAAGAAAAACAAAACATTGAATTCAAGGTCAGTTTCAGGCAGATGGTCATTTCAATGAGGAACCTTTCAGGGTCCATTAATTCCAGCAGAAAATAACTCCGGAAAAGGGCATTCAATCCTTTCTTGCTTTCCATACCTTCCCACAATTAAAAGAGGCATATGTTGATAAAAGGTCAGAACTTTGGCAGATAATTCATGATAAATAACAAGTGAGGTTTTCTCATAAGCTTAGAAAATTGAGGAAAAGGAGAAGCTTAAATTTTTCAGTACCTTATCTAACAGTCTTGAGGCAAAGTTTTTCAGAATAGGTTTATCGAGCACATGTCCACCTACTCGCTGAATTTCTTCACAAGCTTGGAATAGAAACGAGGTTATGTACAAAGAAGGCATAGAAGGAAGCAATATCTTCATCTCTGACTGGCCTTCATTTAACTGATCTTGCTTAACAATGGTCTCCTCCCAGCCCTGCCAAAAAGTCAAAAAGTTAAGATGAAGAAGCTTGTGTAACCAATTTACAGCAATCAATTATCAATTAAGAGGAGATATCAACTTGATAAACTAATTTAGAGTGACCAAAGAAGAAATTTGCATATTATCTGAGCATGACAGACGCAAAAGAACAATAAAAGAGGACCATGTAAACCAGAGCGCACACACAGGTGCCTTACACCCGTGCAGGACACCAAACCCGCTCTACGCAAAAGAAAACCAAAACCTTCTTCTTGTTTTGGGAATAGGCATGTTTTCTTTTTACTATAACTATAGTGCATGCGCCAACTTGCGTGCACCCTCGACCAATCCACCGGCACATGCTACTTCCACCAACAAAAATATCAGGTTACTCTACCCACCAAACTTATGACATGGAAGAAATCACCTAATTTGAACCCTTATCCCCCCCCCCCCCCTTTTTTCTTTCCTCTGTTTTGAGTAGGCATGTCCAGAAGCGAAAATCTTCTCATGTTATGTCATAGCCAAGTAAACTATACAGCATCAAGCGAAGCACCTATCAATATTACCATTCTCTCTTTAAAATTGGCCTTCAAGTGTACAAAGTGTTAAGTTGGATGTTTCTTAGTCGCTGCTCACGCACGGAGCTCACCGCTGAAGCGTTAAATGTGCTTCTATTTAGCAAATAGAGTTTGACTGACAACAACAACAACAACAACCCAGTATAATTCCACTAGTGGGATCTGGGGAGGGTAGTGTGTACACAAACCTTACCCCTACCCTGAGTAGAGAGGAGAGTTTGACTGCGATAAAACATAATCAAAAGGAGCTCTGGCCCACAACGAAACTATCTATCCAAAAAATTAAACTGAATTTACAAACAGCATTACACCTGACAGAACACAAAAGGAGGAAGAAAGTAGAAAAGAAAAGGGTGATGAATACTCCCAGACTTTGTGAAAGTTAATTTTCTTTTTCTTTTCCTGATAAAATTGTGAGACTTACTTTATGTGCAGCATAAGAAGTCATAAAAAAGTAGATGAGAATCGCATATTGTTTTAAAAGAAATCAAGAATTGCATCTGTATATGTAATAGGAAAATGGCACTTACTCTCAAGGCTGTTGTTACAAACAAGGCATCATCTTGTTTGAGATTTTGGGATAAGATAACTGAAAGTTCATCAGAAACCCAAGATATCCACATATTATAAGCTCTGATGCAAAGATCTTGGGTCATTTTACTTAGCTCTTCAAGTTGTGGGCTAGAACTGTCATCCACTCCGAACAAAGCAGCAGATGCCATCGAACTTTGTCTTCTAGGTGAATCAAACATTGTCTTTCCAGGACCTTCAGAGGTCGGGGAGTCGATGGGTGGCATAGAGTACCTTTGTAGAACTGGGGTCCTAGGCGAGCCAGCCCCTCTAGTTTCACTCACCCATGACCTTGGTGAACCAAGTATGACAGGAATGTGTCTGGAATGCTTTTGGAATGCAAACAAAAGCCGCCCTATAAATAGTGACCTCTCAACAAGTATAGCAGGCGATGGCACTGACTCATCTTTTGGGTTTTTGTTTTGAAGGTTAGCAGACAATGCATCCAACTCGCTCTTCAGTTCCATTAGTATAGCAGACATACTTAGGTAACATTTATTTTGTAAATATGGGGCCATATCTTTCAGTCTCAAGGATGCCTTGGGAGACTCCAAGAAGCTTAGTAGGTCTTTTAGAACACTCTCACAGCAGCTGTCCACGGCATCTCTTATCCTGCTGACTTCATCCCCAAAGTAAGCAGTGAGACAACTGCGAAAATCATTCTCCTCAGGCTGCTGTGACTTCGCACCAGGAATGGCGGTAACCTTTTTACCATTTGGCTCCATGAACCAAACACCTCCACCATTTAAAGATCTATTCAAGTACGCCTGGAAATTGACCTGCTCACCAGGAGTTCCTGAGATGACCCCCACTGACACTACAACATCAACTAATCCACTCAACTCATCAAATCCTTTATCAATAATTGCTTTCATCCTTCTAACGAAAGCAACTTCAAATATCTCATCCCATAGGTCCGAATCACCTCCCAGGACTAGCTCGTGTATTCTCTTCCACGGCAACTCAATTTCTGACCCAAAAACACTCTTAAGCCACTCCAAGCTCCCTTCCAAAACCTGTTTATTTTCCATAGTTTCCCGTATCAATGTCTCAGCAAATGCAAGATCTTTCCCACTGCTGATAACACCAATCAAGTATTTACCATTGATCTTGTTCATGATGTCCTTGGCACAATTCCTCAGCCAATCTGAACATACCTTGGAAACGAAATCCCTATCCAACATTACCATTTGCGATTCCAAATCATCTCTAAAAGAGTTCCACAACCTCACTTCCTCATCCGGATTAGGTATTCCACCAAACAATTGAGAGGCAGGAGGTGAACCCAATACAGTCTTATAAAACAAAGGCATATCATTCAATACTTGCAAGAATAATTCTCCTACTTGTCCCACAGTAACCTGAATAATCTTTAACGCTTCACAATAAACTAAAATCACATCAGAACTAGTAGCATTAACATTGGAACATGCATTTAGTTTCTGAGAAATACAAGATTTCCGCGAATCAAGGAACAATGTTAGAACCTGTTTGGGATCAAGCTCATCAATGACAGCAACTGCAGCTAGAGCATCCGCATAAGCTTTTATCCCGAGGCCAAGTTCCTGATCCAACAATCTCTCTCTGCTTCTCTGGGAGATCTGAAATTTAAAACTTTCCACGACCTGCCATTGATGCTGAAGCAACGGAAATTTCGAAAGCACACTTTTGTGATCCTTATTTTCATTCAAGCTATGGTGAACGTGTTTAGCACGAGCATAGCGAGCAGAAGATTCTAGAAACATTGATTCATCGAGACAGCCCCAGATATTCTCCGGCGTATCAACAAGATACTTAACCCGACAGGCAATACCGTAAATTCGAGCTTTTGCAGGGTCAGAAGAGGCAATGGACTTAGGGGAACCGGCAGCGACGGTGGAAGAAAGAGAATGAAGAATGCCGTGGTGTATCGCGGCAATATTGGCAGAAATAGACTCGCACGAGGATTTCATTAGAACAATGGAATCGGCGGAATCGATTAGATCGCGATAACGATTGCCGACGAGTTGACGGAGCTCTTCGCTCTTGTCTTGGATCTGTTTTCTGGTGGCGGCTTCCACATTTCGGATTTCGGCAATTGGCTTTGTGCGGAAGAGTAATTCAGCATCTTGGTTTCTGGCCACGGGGGTAGAGCTAAGGCGGTTTTGATCGGCGGGTGATTGGGATGTAGGTGTCACTACCCTCATTTTCGAGAAGAATTTGCAGTTGGAGTGATAGTTAGAGATAATAGGTTGGCAAAATAACTTCCATTTTTCGTCGGGAATAGTGTATGTATATGCTTGAGTAGAGCATTATCAAACAGTCTGCTTCAAGTTCTTCCTCTTCGAGACCGACTGGCTCCGGATACCCAGAGTACATACACCTGAGTTTTGGGTTTCTTTCTCGGGTTCCGGAACCGGGTGTTAATTGGGGTTTTCGGGTCGATCCGGATCTTTTTGATTGGAATTTGGGGGGTCGTTGAAATTGCGTTTGGAAGTGTACCAATAAGGAAAAGAACGAGTGTAATTGCTGCTCCTACGTTAACTAGTTGCCGAACCCAAGTGAACATGTTAGAAATCGTTCATTGCATTTTTTGACTTGTCGATGAAGAGTACAAAATAGGCAAAATAGCCTACTGTATTTATTTGTAAAACGGCACAGTTGAATTTGTAACGTGATTTATAGAAACGTGAATTAATTTGATCCAAAATATAAAATAAATAAGAATAGAGTCAAGATTATAAAAGAAATACAAGCCTGGTTGTATGATGAGCCTCTCCGGAAGCAATAATATGAAAAGTGTAAATGTAAAAGAAAGCAAGTAATTTTATAATATGAGATCAAACTATAGCCTTTGAGTACAGACGGTTTCTCGTGTCCTACAATGACTACTAATTCTCCTATTTATAGCTCTATTTAGGGAGACAAGATCCCAAAATCAAGCTCCTCTTGAATGAGAATAAAACCAGGAGCTGAGCTATTCAACAAGTAAGGTAAGTTTACTACCCTCTTTTATCTTCTTTTTTTCTGCTGGAAAACTAGAGAAATTCGTTCCATAATAGTAAGAACTCACGGGACGGTGATCGGAAGTTGTGAGTTCGAGTTGTTCAACTTGTAGTGGACTGTTTTGGACTGTTTTGTGGGTTGTTTCGTGTTATCATTGGGTTGTCTCTTGTGCTACTGTTTATGTGGAGTTTGGGAGGATAAAGGGCGTGGAGAAACGCCACATAATGGTTAGGTGGTGGGCTGGTTGTTCGTCATTACATTTTCAGTTATTTGACACTAGTATGGTTGTCATTTTGTGTAGAGTAAACTTGTAGGTAGGGCTGGGCATATATCGGGTATAAGCGATAGCCCGAACCGATAAAATACTATTAGGTTATCGATATCGATTTATTGGATAAATAGTTCGATAACGGTTTAATGTTATTTGACTATTGGGTTATCGGTTCGGGTCTCGGTTTGCCCAGTTTTATTAACGGTTTAACCGATAGCCCAATAAGCTTTAGCAAAATTATAATTTTACTCACTAAGTATATAAAGCCACCTTATGGCTTCATTCTCTCATTCTCTCAATTCTCTCGGCATTTACTCTTTATCTTCAAACCTCAATCCTTAGAGTAAGTTTTAAACTTTTCTGAATTTCTCATCTTAATTCTTCAGTTAAGATTTTTAGTTTTAAACTTTAAGGAATTAGTTGTTCAAATTTTTAGTTTTTCTATTTGTTTCTTTTGTTGCAATGATTCTTTAGTATTTACAAGATTAGGATTTTATTATTTTTCTTTGAATTATGCACGCCCGTAGTGAGATAGTTAGTAAGATTAAATTGTTGAATGTCTTATTTCTTACTCATATAACCTTGAAAATTGAGCTCATTCATTTGGGATTTTCAAATGCAGAGAAAGTTTTCTTTTCTTAAGTTGAAATTTAATCTCTCTTTTCTTAAGAGACGATATTCAATTCCTTTCTCTTAACAGTATGATCACGATTTCTATAATAAAAACTAGAAATTTTTGGATATTTTTTATTCTTATCTGGTAAACCGATAACCGAATCGATAAGGATCGATAACCGACTAACCGATACCCGGTAACCGATATTTTATCGGTTCGGTTATTGATTTAGTATATTTATAAACCGATAACTGATATGTCTAACCGATAACATTCACAACTGAACCGAACCGACTGATGCCCACCTCTACTTGCAGGAGTTGTTGTTGTTGTGATTTATTGGAGGACTGCTGATCAAGGTATGTGATGGCTATCCCTTTTGACCCTTTTTGGCATGAGTTCGGCTTAACGACAATTTTTCTAAAAGAAAAGCTTAATGAAACTTCCCGTCGTAAATACTTCACTCATGGTTGATGTTCCATAGTATATGTAATGACCTAACCAGTCATTTTGAGCTTTAGTACTTTATTCGGCAGTTTGAGACCTTGTGAAACTTCATATGATGTATTTTGACTTGCATATATGATTGGTTTTGATGTTCACAGGGTTCGGGATTGATTTGACAGAATGATTCTCAATATGGAAGCTTTAAGTTAGAAGAGTTGATCAAGGTCAAACTTTTGAGTAAACGACCTCGGAATTAGGATTTGATATTTTCAATAGATTTGTATGGTAATTTTGGATTTGGGCGTATGTTCGTATTTGAATTTGGATGTTCTTATAAGGTTTCGGGTCTATGACGAAAGTTGAAAATTTGAAGAATTGGAGAGTTCACAAGTTCGGTTGGGAGTAGACTTTGAGGCTATCGGAGTCGAATTGTTGTTCCGGAATTAGAATAGGCTTGTTTTGTCATTTTAGACTTGTGTGCAAAGTTTGGGTTCATTCCGGATTGATTAGACTTAAATTGTCACGCCCCAAACTCGGGGAGCGCGACCGGTGCTCAACCGAGTAAACCCGGCTGAGTAAGCCTGTTAGATTTCATTCTACCCAAATTCATCCCTGAATAAAGAGGAGATGTACTCTGTTAATCAAATACTGAAAAGATTTCAATAACTACTTCTATTTCATTCCCATTAACAACATCATTCAATATTTCCAAAATAGTACGAGTTTATAGATTTAATGAAAAACATGTTGCCAAATACCAACAGTTCTAATTCAGTTCCCAACATCAAACACCACCCACAACCTGTCTACGGAGCCTCTAAGTACAACTGAAGAGTAATATGGATATACCGGCAACAAGGCCCCGGCTATACCTCAAAACACAGTACATGAGAAACAAAATATACATGACCCCGAAATGAAGGGGGATCACCAAGTCAGCTGAAGAGAGTGTACCGCTATCACAGATCAATGCCGCCTATTGTGGAACCACCTGCATCCATTAAATATACAACGTGCCCAACAAAAGGGACGTTAGTACTGTCGAATAGTACTAGTATGTAAAGCTAAAAGTCCTCTTTCAAAATAGAATGACCATATAAGAAAAAAAACCCATAGAAATAGCAAGTCACAATCAACTATATCCAAATGCCCAATTGAAACATACCAATTTTCAAAATATGAAAATAATATATATTTTTGGTTGGGAGATCATTAGCACCGATATACCACCGTCTTTGTTAGCACGGAGTCCGATCACACCCGATCGGCTAGGCCATCTCCCCACGAACAATGTGGTTTGACATGTGATGCGAAAGAAAGTTATTACCAAGAGTAGTACCACCATGTGCGTAACATGGCGTTCGATCTCCACCCGATCAGCTAGGCCGCCTTCCCACATATGCCGTGTGGGTTGACTTTCCAATTCATAGCTATTACCAGTTTCATCCCAATTAAGGGGAATAATTACAATTTCACCAATATTTCAATTTCATCCCAAATAAGGGGAATAATCACAATCCACCCTTATACCAGCACGTGTAGTTTCAGGTGTGGTCCTTATGACCCACCCTTCCTCGGTTTTGCTAATGATACTGTAACGACCCGGCCGGTCGTTTTGAGTATTACAACCCTGTTTCCCCATTTACTTCTCAAATTGTACCTTACAGTTGTTGTGTGAATTGCCGGGGTAATTGGTTCGGGTCCAGTGAGTTTTTGGAAGGAATTGAAACACTTAGTTCCAAGGTTTAAAGCTTAAGTTAAAATAGTGACTGGATGCGAACTTATGTGTAAACGACCTCGAATTCGAATTTTAATGATTCCAATAGCTTCGTATGGTGATTTTGGACTTAGGAGCGTGTCCGAAAAATTATTTGGAGGTCTGTAGTGGAATTTGGCTTGAATTACCGAAAGTTAAATTTTTGGGAAGTTTGACCGGGGGTTTGACTTTTTGATATCGAGGTCGGAATTTGATTATGAAAATTTGAATACCTCTGTTATGTCATTTATGACTTGTGTGCAAAATTTGAGGTTAATCGGACGTGATTTGATAGGTTCCGGAGTCGTTTGTAGAAATTAGAAATTATAAAGTTCATTAGGCTTGAATTGGGGTGTAATTCATGATTTTAGCATTGTTTGAGGTGATTTGAGGGCTCGACTAAGTTCGTATGATGTTTTAGGATTTGTTGGTATATTTGGTTGAGGTCCCGAGGGGCTCGGGTGTGTTTTGAGGTGGTTTCGGACCAAATTGGAGTTGTTTGGACTGATGTTGCTGAAGTCTGATTTCCTTCTTCGCGAATGCGAAGGGAGTCCCGCGTTCGTGAAGAGGAATTTGAGGGGCTGTTCGTTTGGCCTTCGCGAACGCGAACGCGAAGGAGTTGGTCATCGCGAATGCGATGAGGAGTTCGCGAACGCGAAGAGGAAATGATGGGGCAGAAACAGTTGGCCTTCGCGAACGCGATGAGGAGGTCGCGAACGCGATGAAAGATTTGAGGCAGTTGGGTTTTGGCCTTCGCGAAGGCGAAGCAATGGTAGCGAACGCGAAGAAGGCCTATATGGGCAGAATTAAAAGTCCCAAAAAATGGGGGTTTGAGTTCATAACTCAAAATCAAATTTGGAGCTCGGTAGAAGGCGATTTTTGGAGAGATTCTTGCATTGGGGTAAGTGATTCTTATCCAGTTTTGATTAATTTTCATGATTATGCCTTTGAATGCATCATTTAATTCGGATTTAATGGAGGAAAATCAAGATTTTTGTAAAATCTTCCAAAAATAAAAATTTAAGATTTGGAGGTTGAGTTGTTATTGGAACTCGATAAAATTGGTATGGTTGAACTCGTAATTGGATGGGTTATCGGATTTTGTGAGTGTCATCGGATTCCGAAATGTGGGCCCCACGGGTGATTTTTGGGGCGTAATTTCGGATTTTGTGAAAATATTAGTATTTTGATATGGAATTAATTAATATAAATTTTTTGGGCTGAATCAAATTTATTGTGACTAGATTCGAGCTGTTTGGAAGTTGATACGCGTAGAGTGGAATTGCTGGAGCATTGCTTAGCTTGCTCGACATTGGATTTGGTTTGTTCGAGGTAAGTAACTCTTTTAATCTTGGAGTTGAAGGTATGAACCCTGAATATATGTAT